CAATCATCTTTTACTTTTAAAAATTCAGTATTTCCATCTGTATCATTGACCAGACGGCTAAAAGGCAATATTCTCATTCTATTGTCAGCCTGGTCCGGATTCAGTTGGGATTTTTGCCATCTCACACAGTTGCAGTGGAGTGGCAGCCCGAGCATGTGGTCTTGTTAGTTTAGAGCCAACAAAGGTAAACAATTGTGGAAAGTTTATTTAGAAATATTACTGCTGCTCCATTGCTATTCTTGGTCCTTTGATGATTGTAGATGTTGTCAGCTTTTTCTAACTAAAATATTTTACAGATTGCTGAGATCCTCAAAGATCGACCTTCTTGGTTCCGGGACTGCCGGAATGTTGAAGTTATCACTATCTTTCCTGCTGGAAATGGTGGTACAGTTGAGCTTTTGTATACACAGGTGAAAACCTTCACTTCAATCTTTATTATGTTGTACTTCTGATTTGATTGGCTACCGCATTGAGGGGATCAATGAATCATTTCTTTCAGATATATGCTCCTACCACTCTGGCTCCTGCACGTGATTTATGGACGCTGAGATACACAACAACTCTAGACAATGGTAGTCTCGTGGTAAGCAATCCTTCACATTAGAGTGAGCTTGTGTAGGCTACCTGGCCACTTTTATTAGTTCTGGCATTCCCTGTTTAACTAGTCTTTTAACATCTCAACCTTTCAATCCTTGGATTGAACAAAAGTCTAGAAATGTAATATTTGGATCATATTTAACTAAATGCTGCATTTTAATCCCCGTCTAGACATTTGAGGATCTTGCTACTTAAGTATGATACTTGGCTCCATTATTAGTGATTCTTAATAGTGAATTCTATTAGCTGTGCCATTTCGTATATGTTGCTGATAGTTTCTTTTTGTGTGTGGCATCAATTTTCCCCCCACCTCACCAAGGTTTGTGAAAGATCCCTATCTGGTAATGGGCCTGGCCCAAATCCTGCTGCTGCTTCCCAGTTTGTAAGAGCTCAAATGCTTCCATCTGGATATCTGATTCGACCGTGTGACGGTGGAGGATCAATCATACATATTGTTGACCACCTGAATCTGGAGGTTAGATTTTGCATAGTACTGTATCTTTGTCATGAACCTGTTTCACTTGGTAGCTGCAATTCACTGCATATATTTTTCAGGCATGGAGTGCTCCTGAGATTTTGCGTCCACTCTATGAATCGTCAAAAGTTGTTGCACAGAAAATGACTATTGCGGTGAGTTCAGCCCTTGGTTATCATTTAATACTGCATATAAATGTGCATTCATCACACTTTTCATAGCTTACTGCCACAGTAGAAGCAACACTGATTTCATGCTTTAATCTGTTTCCTGTGAAGGCACTGCGCTATGCAAGGCAATTAGCGCAAGAGACTAGCGGCGAGGTAGTATATGGTCTAGGAAGGCAACCTGCTGTTCTTCGAACATTTAGCCAGAGATTATGCAGGTGATGCTTATTTCTGATTTATGTTGTGTGGCTTTGAGATGTAGAAATTTTATGCTCTTTTGAGTTGCCAATTCCGAAGAACATATACATGTACCTTATTAGGCCATTTCTATATTGCAGAGGGTTCAATGATGCCATTAATGGATTCGGCGACGATGGCTGGTCAATGTTAAGTTCAGATGGTGCTGAAGATGTCATAGTTGCTGTCAATTCAAGGAAGAACCTCGCCACCACCTCCATTCCTCTTTCGTCCCTTGGAGGCATCCTTTGTGCCAAAGCATCAATGCTACTCCAGGTGAATAGTGGATCTTTCTTGAACTGACCAGAAATTTTTAGTGGACAAGTTACCTTTTCCTTGTTAATACACAGCTAACAGAAGTTTACAAGTTCATTTTTGCATCATCTTTTGTGATACCTGCTGAGTTACTGGTCCATATCGGCAGTAGATAGACTTGATTCAAAAGAGAAGCTTTCTGTAGTGCTCTTGTTTCATGGAGAACTGGCTCATTTGTTTAGGAAAGAATCGGGATTCCTTGAATGTTAAAGCATGATAATTTTCCTCATTAATTTTGCTTGACATGCGATGTATGAACTCGTAACTGGATCAATGAGAATAACTTAACTCTTTTGTTTCATGACAGAATGTTCCTCCCGCAGTACTGGTTCGGTTTCTGAGGGAGCACCGTTCAGAGTGGGCGGACTTTAATGTTGATGCTTTTGTAGCTTCTGCATTGAAATCTTGTCCGTATACATATCCTGGGATGAGGCCTACCAGATTTACCGGAAGCCAGATAATAATGCCACTTGGCCACACAATTGAGCATGAAGAAGTAAGCAGTTTGCACTCCTTCCTTCTTTCAATTGCTACGCTTGTTGCCAATATAATTATATAAATAATATTATACTTGAGACTTCTTCTCATTTTTGATTTTGCTTTACAGATGCTTGAAGTTATTAGACTCGAAGGGCACTCTATTGGACAGGAAGATGCTTTTATGCCAAGAGATATTCACCTTTTACAGGTACTTCAGCCTATACTTTGATGTTTCCGTGTGCTGTACCTCACAAACATCCTTGAAGGATATAATGCTAACACAACAATCATTTCCAGATGTGTAGTGGCACTGATGAGAATGCAGTTGGAGCCTGTTCTGAACTGGTTTTTGCCCCTATTGATGAGATGTTTCCAGATGATGCACCTTTGCTCCCCTCCGGGTTTCGCATTATTCCTCTCGAATCAAAATCAGTTGAGTAAATTATCCATCCACCACAAAATTGAATTTAGCGAATGAGCTGAGTTGAACATTAACATTATAGCATGAATTGTGATTTTATTATTCAGGGTGATGCCCAGGATACATTGAACGCACATAGAACATTAGATCTAGCATCAAGTCTCGAAGTGGGCCCAGCAAGGAACTCAGCTACCGGAGATATGGCCTCTTGTTACAGTGCACGATCTGTACTGACAATCGCTTTCCAATTTCCATTTGAGGACAATCTTCAGGACAATGTGGCTACCATGGCCCGACAGTATGTTCGCAGTGTGGTTTCGTCTGTCCAACGAGTTGCCATGGCAATATCTCCTACAGGAATGAATCCAACACTGGGGGCCAAGCTTTCTCCAGGCTCACCAGAAGCTGTAACATTGTCGCATTGGATCTGCCAGAGCTATAGGTAAGGTCCTCACAAATATAATCTTCTTGTGAGCCTTGATGATTTCTTGATCATGGCGACACTTGTTCCCTTCTGTTCTGCTCAACGTTTTGCTTTTCATATTCATGATCATGCTTGCTAGTTTTGGCTTACTGCATCTCTGATTTTCAGTAAGAAGTAAGAGTACTGTTGATTATTTGAGAAATTTTTTCCTTTCTCAACTTATTGAGAAAATATACCAAAGTTTTTGAAGTCCTTGTCTGATTGTTAACATTCCATGTTCTTTTGCATTTAATCTCCAGTTATCACATGGGAACAGAGTTGCTTCGAGCTGATTCTAGTGGCGATGAATCAGTACTAAAGAATCTCTGGCAACACCAGGATGCTATTTTATGCTGCTCATTGAAGGTATGAAGTTCTCTTGCTACAAAATTTATGAACTCACCTTGATATAACATATTTCGTTTGTGATTAAGAAACACTGTATGTTATGTTGCTATGAAACATGAACACATACATAAAGAAGAACGTATCTGATTGGCGTTTAATTGTCCTCATTAGTGTTCCAGACATTTTTTTGACATCCCCATATTAAATATTCTCGTTACGTTCTAGTCTTTTGTCTTGTTACAAGAATGTGTCAGTAGGTTGATGATGTTCTCTCTGTTGTTGCAGTCGCTTCCAGTTTTCATTTTTGCTAATAAGGCCGGACTTGACATGCTGGAGACAACATTAGTTGCATTACAGGACATTTCTCTAGATAAGATATTTGATGAACCCGGAAGGAAAGTGTTGCTCTCAGAGTTCACCAAGATCATGGAACAGGTAATTAGCTACTCCGTAGTCTGTAGACTATTCTGATGCTGCAAAATTCATTTTGTCTTCGGGTATAATGGTTTGATCCACAGGCTATTGCAGAGCCAAAAGACCAAAGTTGAGGTTGTTTTCGTCTGACTGTTGTTTCTTGACCACAGGGTTTCGCGTGTTTGCCGGGTGGTATCTGCATGTCAACAATGGGACGACATATTTCATATGAACAAGCTATTGCATGGAAAGTCTTTGCTTCGTCTGAAGAAAACGCTGTCCACTGCTTGGCCTTTTCGTTTATTAACTGGTCATTCGTGTAATGCTGTCATTTTTTTTCTTTTTTCGACCTTTCTCACAGAACACTAATAGCCAGGAACACAGATGAATGCGGGGACAAACGAAAATTTTTGTAATATGTAAAATTCCCAGTTTCTTCTGCATTAATTTAATTAAACTGGAAGTTGTATTTCATTTCTTGAATTCTTGATACTCGTGTAAATCTTAATAGTGCAGCTTTCTTTTTTTTGAGTGAAGTTGCTTGTTTCTGAATGTTTTTACAACTGAATGTTAGTCCAGAAAGCTTTTGATTTATATAAGGTCACCTGCCACTGCTATCTTTCGGGTAAATCGAGCTTGATCAAAAAAGCATACAGTGTATTTGTTCCTGTTCAACCAACTCGATCACCTTTACGTGTACCGTAGATTCAGAAATCTTTAGTGTTACATTAATACTTTGACCTGCAATAGCTACCATAGCTTCTTTTGTATAACACATCAAATTGATCATATATGACTAAATAAAGACACTTAATAATAGCTGCTTGTAAACATTGCATATACCTACTGTCACAATATATATAGCACATTTTTTTCAAATCTTTCAAGATGATTCACTGTCTCTTAAGACTAGTCAAAATAGTGTCGCATAAATTAAGACAAAGAAAGTATTTCAATAAAAGGCACCAGTGAAATAATGACAACAGAAATAGAGTAGTTATATGCTAGGAAGAATGGCTACATGATATGGCATTTTCAGTGTCATACAATTTAAGCTATGTGATGCCAAGACTGCCTGCTAGAAATTTATGTGCAAACCTTCATATCTAGCAACAGAGTAGAGCACAGCTCAATTTCCCAAATTAACCTGCTTTACGCAATCTGTATTTACACACAGCAGCAGCAATTGTATGTTTTTGGGGGACAATGATCATCTAGACAAAATTTTACAACATCAAAACAAAAGGCAGTACTTTCACAAGATATATTTTGGCGTCGTTTGTAATTTCCTTGAGAGCCCTTCTTCACCTGGATGCAAGTGACCAAAAGTTTAAGAGAAATGATGGCAAAGCACAGAACCAGCTAAGAAAAGCCATGGCAGTAGCAGTCTCGAACTCTAAGCAGTGATTTTGAGAGCAGACACCGAGGTCATTGCCAATCAGTACAGTAATGCCAGCAGAAGCACAGGCTGCAGCAAACATGAGGGTAGAAGTGACCTGCAAGAAAGACATTCATGAAGAAGATAAATGGCAAGAAGTCATCAATCTGGAAATATGCTCCACAATGAGCTTATTTACAATTTTATATTATATGAACAAAGTTGAATATGGTGAATGGGCAGTGGCAGAGCTAGGATTTTACCAAGAGAATTCAAAATATAAAGAAGTAAACACACAAGCCTTCCTTATAGGAGAAAGAGTAACTTTGGATTCTATGCTTACTTGAGAATTTCTTTTGATCTCATCCACATTGTACATGGAAGACGTTTCCTCCTTCAATGGAGATTCAACATCTATGTGCTTTCAAATCAATTACATATTGATAAAAACTAATTTTGACATTGGAATTTGGATATATAGTGTACTTTTTGATGATTGGGGTTTCATCTCTGCCCATGGGTGGGAATATACTGTTAGAAGTAACTCTAATGCCACTCTTTATGAGATATTTAAAAGACAATTAACTTTTCAAAATTTCGTACATGGTAATTTGCACGATAAAGTGGACAAGTTAAAACCCCATGTTAAAGAAGAACTTTTATGGCTGACCTCGCGTATCTATATCTTAAGAGATGAAAGATGGATCAAAAATTTCCAAGAATACACTAAGAAATTGCAAAACTTCCATAGGAAATTAACGGAATCCAAAATATCTGCATTAAGCTTTTTCATACCAATGCAAGGTAAAAAGTTGGAACACTTATTGATATTTTACTCATCAAACAATACAAAATCACAGCACTAATGTATTGAACCGATTCTTATGGGAGCTTTTCTCTGTCGTATCAAGTCCTTGCATGTCTGATTGTACCAAATTGTGCAAGGGCCATCAACTTTCTAGTTTCTATGAAGATCCAAATTTTTGTATCACACGAAGAAATCAGAATGTTTGACAAGTTGATATGCATCTTTTTTATCGTACAAGAATACTACTTCAATAATCCCTTCATTCATTTATTAGCACAATTACTATTACGTGATCAAGTTTTTGATGAATCTGTAGCAACTTACCCCATCACCGACAGCAAATAAGCTCACAACCCGAGAATTTTGCAAGCACCGTCCAACAAGGAGAGCATAAACATCAAGAATTCCTAGAGACAAGCTCCATAAGCTCTGCAAGCCAGCAGCAGCGACAAGGTAACTGGAAAACCAGATAAGATGAAAAATTCACCATAAAGCAACACAACTTCCAGTAAGCATGTTTTTTATCAAAGGGCCAAAATACATAGCACGTACGAAAATATAAGCCAAATATAAGATACCACCCAAAAGAAAAGAGTTCTTAGATTTCCTTCACTCGCGTTTAAAGAAGAGATCCAAACTTCTAACAAGATATATGATGAATTATTGGCAGCATTTGCAGCCCAATTAGTTGACTTCAAGTCAATGGAGATACCACGTGATTAACTAGCACATTTAGGCAATACTAGATCTATGTTAACAACAGAACTGAACAATGTCCGCTTCGAACAACCATCCAGTGAGGTAATGTGACAGAAAAGATATTAATAAAAGGAGCAAAAGGTACCCCCCCCCCCCCCCCCCCCAACTATATACAAAATCTTAATTTGATCTTCAAAATTTACAAATAGTACAACCATCAAGGCATCAACAGACTTTGCCGGCAAATTACCTTTTTCTTTTAGGAGGATGATAAATATCATATTTACACAGCATCAACCAGTACAAATTAACAACCTGTGGCGCAGTGAGGATGTACCAATACATAAGATGCCTGTCACCGTACTACAACGAGACTTGAACCAGAGGCACTGGACTCGCTAACCACTAGATTTATACTTCCGATATAAGTTATAGACTTTATAGGCTGAAATTTTTAGCATATCCAGTGGAGAATTAACACATCCTCCATCAGAAGGCCACAACCCCATCTCCCAGCAATTGTTTTTTTCTATAAGGTAGTTAAGAAAAATGGAAAGATTTGCTTTCTTTTAACTGGATCCTTCTTCTTTGTCAACACTACTAAGGACCCATAGGTTTGCCTTCTTCACTTATAAAAGATAATGAGAATGCGTATACAAAGCATGATCTTTCCAAGATGTGCAAGGTGCCCCTCAGCCTTCCAACGGGGAAGACTTCAACATGAAAGTCAATTTCCATTCTTCCTGGTGGAGTTGCTCATCCCCATTGGGAGTTTGGGTAGTTAGTAGGAAAGTACCTAGTTCAGTGACGCCTATTGCCTTCGTCTTATTCAAGTCGCAGTAAGCGGGTTAATGTTGATGAGGAATAAGTCGTTTCCACCCTCTTTCCATGGAAATGTGTCAAAGGAATAGGCACATTTAGAGCTGCGGGACTTGAAGGAATAGAATGCCCCGTCCCCCGTGTCTCTCAGTATGGTTAGCACTGGTTGTTCCCAAGCAGTGAGACTTACACCTATTCACCTTAAGTTCATCCAGAGTTCCTTACCCTCATGCACGTTTTATTCATTAAGCCATCTTCCTATCAACGTTAAGGAGTCAACTGAGCATCTCCAGATTGAATAGCAAGTTAGAAATAAGTTATCCAAGAAGGCTCCACTATGAAGGGGCAACTATCATTTCACATCTGATAAAATTGAAACAGCTAATCTGATGGCATACAGAACATGAATGACCTTTTATTATACAAAAAAAAGTTTGAAAAATCAAACTGCCAGGCACAATTGTTCCACACAATACACCACGAAGTCGCATACTATATGATCATCTAAAAATCAGCCCATTCTCAATTCGTTCGATTGATTTCTCAGATGGCCACTCAACTAATAGTTATCATCTCAAAAAGTCATCTTTCTTCTTGATTCCAATTTTCTTCAGTAGAGAAAATGGTTTTTCTGAGATAATAACGAGTGACCATGTGAGAAATCAACTCCAATTCATCTAATTGACAAATTGAAGTGAAGCATCCAAAGCTCAGCTCCAAAATTTCCGTACAAACTGTTAACACATAAATATTGCAAAGAGAACACTCATTAACTAAACACATCTCTTCAGTTACTGCTACCATTTGCAATTACGCCTGAACTTAAACATCTAACTCACATATGCTTATCTAAACATGATCGGAACTGAAATTTGTGCTTTCAGAACAAAAATATTACCAGAAAGCTGTGACGGAAGGAAAATCAGCGGTAGTAGCCATAACGCAAAGCGAGACAACAGCAAATACAAACTGAGCGAAACGTAAGAAGGATCCACCAATCGTCCCAGGCATTCCTTGAACATCCTTCATCCTTACTCTCGGAACGTTAGCTGCTTCCGTTTGCAACGGTGGTGCGTCAACAGGATGTACTGAACCGTTGCTCACACTCATTTTCTGTTTATTGATTGAACTTTTGTCCTCCTCTTCTTCTTCTTCAGTTACCAACCAGTAACCACCACCAACAAAACAAACAAGTTACAATCAATTCACCAATAAATCATTCCAATTTTGCTTAACTAATTGTGCGATCTACAACTTCAATTAGACAGATCCGGAGGCTGGAGAATTCTCCGGCCGGCGGAACCCTAGTTCCGGCACAGATTATCGGAGCAAGGGATGTATGTATGTCGCCTGGAAATTGAAAAGTGATGAATAATTGGTCAGAAGTTGTTGGGAGTCGGAATTGTCCGAAGTAGACATTATTCTTCTCAGCCATACTTTTCATACAGTAACTTTTTTTTTTCTCAAAAAAATTTTACTTGTCACATTATTTTTTTGTACTCTCACGTTTCGTTTTTACTTATTTTTTTTTAAGAATAAAAATATTTCATCATTTTAATACTAATATTTAATTATTTCTTAAGTGACATACAAAATATAAAATAGACAAATAAGAATAAACAAAAAAGTAATATTTTGATATAACTTTTTGAATATCTAATTTAAAATATTAAATTAAATTAATTTAATTTTAAATATTAATTAAATTGACTCTCGTAAATTGAGTAAATAAATATTTTTTGGACTTCTTATTTCTTTTGATAAAAAAAAGTCAAAATCGTCCTTTTCACATATTAGAAATAACTTTAAAGTGCTTTTTTATTACTTATTGAATCAAAATCAAATTTATCACTTCTTCCACTTATTAAATTAAAAAGATTATTAATATACTAACAAAGACTCAACAATATCTTTCTTTTATCTATTTGGGTGAAATGTGCCCCTCAATTATTCAAGCTTAAATTTTTTATTGGTCCCCACCCGATATTTGAAATTCATATTGGAGCTCCAACTAAATTTGAATCGCGCACTGCAGTGGTGCTCACAGCGAAATTTTCTCCATACCCAGGGCTTAAACCCGAGACCTCTGGTTAAGGGTGAAGTACTCCTCCAGTGCACTACAACCCATGTTGGTAAGCTTAAAATTGTTTCATTGTTAACAATATAGTTATATGAGATTTAATTAAATTTTAAACATTAAGAATGCATTTGGTACGTGAGATGTGATGGATATTTTGAAATTCAATTTGAAAATTTTGTTTTATTAAAAATATAATTTTATTATGTAATAAATTTATACCATAAATCAAATAAAATCTCAAACTTAATTTTCAATATGTCATTTAATTTCATTCAACTTGATATTCTTTTATTATTATTTGCATATATGATTAAAAAATTGCCGACTCCAATCATTTCATATTTTAAAAAATTAAAAGATAAAAAAACTTGACAGTTGTCTTCTTGCTTTTGGTTTACACTTCCAATTCCTTCTAAATAGCCTTTTTTCCCTTAAGTTATACATTTCTAATCACCTTTTTAACTCACTAATTAACCTAATTATCACCTTTCTCCCAACCAAGTATAGGTTAGTTATTCAATCAAACACTTTTTTAACACATAATTAATACAAAGCATGAATGATTTAATTATGAACATATTGTTTTTTAATATATATTTAAATCTATTCTCATGGATGTTTTGACAATTCGATCTTTTTTATAAATATAATTTCAGACAAATCTTATTGATCAAACTCTATAATACACTTAACAACTTTTAATAGGAAAGATCATTTCACCACTTCAACGAATTCTTTCATAGTGGCTTGAAGTAAAATTGGATGTTATCGCAAACGTAGTCTCGAATTTGAAAATATGTGGCTCTGGCTCTTTTTCAAGAGAGAAATTAAGAGCACTAGACGATGAATTTCAACTCTAGGCGTACGTGGCTACAAGTGGAGAATCAAATTCTCGTCAACAAAATTAAAATTCAGATAATCAACCAATTGAGCTACTAAAATTCCCTACAACTTAGCTTAATATGGATATATTAAGAAATCTGCATATTAGATCACAAGTTCGAACTCTACATCCAACGAATTAAAAATAATATAATTTTCAAATTTTGAAAGCTATGAAAAATAAATAAACTATTCAACAAATAACTTCATTTCTTTTTTGTTTATATTGTTGGGCCATGTCAATGGGCCCTAATTTTCCTCATTACTCACACCATGAATTTCTTATATATTGCAAAATTGGCCATCATTTTCATGATAGGACTTTACTAATACAAAGATTTAAAAAAAATAAAAAATCATTTAGAAGTGCAAATTGCAAATTATTTCCTTCAACTTGCAAATTATAAATTTTGCTAAAAATGTCGAGTCAAATTAGTGTTTGATATTCAACTACTGTGTGATACTTAAAATACGTTTTTTTTATAGATACAAACAAGACTATTTATATGTTTTATCAACGAAATTTACTATTAATATAATATTTTATAACATGTAAAAAATGAAATACTTATTACGTACATGATGGTATTTAATTATTAAATTTGATTTTTTAATAGTTAATTTACATTACTAATAGTAGTAATTATGCAACCAACATGTATGCATAACTATTAATAATTAAGATTAAGGATTGCGAAGGAATGAACAATGCTTTTTTTCACTTTTATGTAGAAAATTCGAGTCTAAATTTTGAATGTGAAAATAAGTATTGATAAAGAGAGTCTCCTTTTTCGGCGAGTCTTACCACAAGAATGTAAAATCAAATTGTTATAGTTAATCACTAATGAGTCATAGTTAATTAATATAAATACAAGTACGTGTAAATGTTATTTAAATAAAAACGCTCATTAAAATATATCAAAGTTGATCTTGTACTTTGAATATGATGGGGCGTTTTTAGCTATGAAAAATATGAGTATTTTTAAAAAATATTTTATATTTTTAAAGTAAGAAATAAAATTATCTGACTATCAATATAATTTAGAATTATTTTTTATTTTTTAGGAGTAAATTAAAATAAAACAGTGACAACATCTTTATAGTGTTTTACAAATTACACCAAGCATACTCTTTGAAATTCACCTCCAAATATTTTTTTAAAAAAAAATTCATCATCAAACTCACCATATTCTATTTTTTAATTAAAGTGCTATTTCTTTTTTTTTCTAAAATAACAATTTAGAAGCAATACATAATACACAGCTGTCACGTGCATATACACACTCGTCAGTCGTCATTGAGACAAAAAATAATAATAATAATTCAGATTCAAATGTTGTAACTTGTACCATATCACGTTAATCATTTATAATAATTTAAAAAAATATCAAATATATTTATTATCTAAAATTAAATAATATAATGACATAGTAGATTTTTCCATAGTCACTTCAATATGATTTATACTTCTTTTCATCTGACATTAACTTTTTGTTTTTCAAATAATTCGTGAACGTGTCTTTTAATTTGATCCTAATTGATATTTAAATTTTTTAATTTTTGATTGTAGACAAATAAGCACTGTATGATATAATATGCGCTTTATATAAGTACAATATAAATCAGTTTGAGTGTATCTCATATAAATTGTAATGTAGAATATGTGTTTACTTATTCAGTTTTATACAAGTTTAAATCTTTATTTGTGCAAACCCGAAATTGAAAGACATAAATATCAACCTAAATCAATTTAAAAAAAAAAAGCATTTTTCACTAATCGTATTTTTTTTTTCACTCTATGTTTATATTCATATTGGAGTGAAAATCTTTTTATCAATATTAATCTGGACAATCTAAATTCACACACTTAAAAAAAGATTTTAACGAATGTATTAAAATCGATTTTCATATTCAAAACTTAAACTCCACATACATAAAAGTGAATTTCAGTTTTTGTAACTTTCCCGTCCCCATCTCCCCTTACCCACCCATCCAACAAAAATATTAGCCTTCGTTTACTCTTCTTTGCCATTTTTCTGAAAAACTCTCTCTCTCTTCTATCTCGCTCTAATCTCTATCGATATTTACGGCTTCGCTTTCTTTTGATCTTCAAAACCTAGGGTTTGGCTCAACAACAAAAAAAAAACTTGAAAAAGCTCTCCGTCTCGAATCTCTCTATTCAATTTTAGGGTTTACAGATCTGTTCGGCTGTTAATCTCTGATTCAAATATGTTTTGGAAGCTTCCAGTCCTGTCGTCTTGTTCGCCGGTATGTATTATGGATCCATGTCTATTCAACAGTGTTTAAATTGAATGAGCTGAATTTTTTGATGTTCTGTGATGTTTTGCTGGTATTTTCATTTTCGAAGCATATTTGATATTCTGTGATGTTGAATTGGCTGAGAAGTGTTCAAATATGTTTTGGAAGGTTCCAGTTATCTATGACTATTGTATAGTGTTCAAATTGAATGAGCTGAATTTTTTGATGTTATGTGATGTTTTGCTGGTATTTTCATTTTCGAAGCATGTTTTGACTATGTTGAATTGGCTGAGCCGTGTTCCAATTTGTGTTAGAATGTTCCAGTTATCTATGACTATTGTATAGTGTTCAAATTGAATGAGCTGAATTTTTTGATGTTCTGTGATGTTTTGCTGGTATTTTCATTTTCGAAGCATGTTTTAACTATGTTGAATTGGCTGAGCAGTGTTCAAATATGTTTTAGAAGGTTCCAGTTATCTATGACTATTGTATAGTGTTCAAATTGAATGAGCTAAAAAAGAAAAATAATCGGCTCAATTATTTTGATGTTCTGTGATATTTTGATTGTAGAGTTTGTGTTTTCGAAGTATGTTTTGATCTTCTGTGGTTTTGAATTGGCGGAGCAGTGTTCAAATTGTATGAGCTGAGGAAGGAATTTCTAGACTCAATTATTTTGAAATTCTGTGATGTTGAATTGGCGGAGCAGTGTTCAAATTGAATGAGCTAAAAAGAAATTTCTCGACGCAATTATTTTGATATTCTGTGATTTTGAATTGGCGGAGCAGTGTTCAAATTGAATGAGCTAAAAGAAATTTTCTTGACTAAATTATTTTAATCTTCCGCGATGTTTTGCTGATAGAGTTGTGTTTTCGAATCATATTTTGAACTTCTGTGATGTGAAATTGGCGGAGCAGTGTTCAAATTGAATTAGCTGAAAAAGAAGTTTCTCGACGTAGTTATTTTGATCTTCTGTGATGTTGAATTGGCAGAACAGTGTACTTGTTGTTTTCAGACTATGATTTATAGATTATGAATGTGTTTCTATTGGTGTTTCAACTATGTATTTTCTTGTAGTTTTTCTGCTATCTATTGTGATAGTTTAACTCTGTTTAGCTCTTTATAATTAGTTATTAAGAAGGATTGCTGTTTTGAGCTAAGTTCATTTGATTTTTGTGTAGCTCTTCATAATTAGTTATTAAGAATGATAATTGTTCTGAGCTAAGTTCATTTGTATATGGTCTCCTTCCTATTAAAATTGAATCAAGTCAGTAGAATCGTCATTTATGGTTTAGGGAATTTGGTTAAAATAATTTGGGACTTTTGAGTAATTTCATATTAATTGAGATCACAATGGTAACTCTTAAATCTTAGCAAACCAAAAAATTCAATGAAGACATCAGTGAAGTGAAGATCAGTGCAATTTATAACAATTTCTATGGAGTAAGTTTTGAATTGCCAATTCTTCATTGCAGCCGTTAGATCCATCTGCTTGATGGATCACTTGATAATGTAGTTTTATTATACACTATGCCCTTCTCTTTCTTGCATAACCTGGTGTTGCATTATTCTAATTGCGACATTGAGTACATCTAGCTTGCGCTGTAAATACTGTTCAATGAAGCCGTCACCTCAACACAGTATGTGTTTATTTGTTTTATCTGATGACTTTCTTTCCAACCTGGTGAATGGTGTTGCTTATGATCTTTTCTTTCCTTGGGATTTTAGGTTGAAGCAGTACTAGACAAGGAAAATTTCACTTTGGAAGAGCTTCTTGATGAAGAAGAAATAATCCAAGAGTGCAAAGCTTTGAACAGTCGTCTCATAAATTTGTAACATTTCTCCCAGTTTTAACTTATATAGATGCTTATAATTTGACATGTGCCCAGGAGAGAGTATAGTTGCTGACTAACTGTTTTTAGTTCAGCTTAGAATTTCAGATTCACTGAAACATGGTTATCATTTTCTATTTTCAGTTTGAGGGAGAGAACACAGGTTGAGCAGTTACTGCACTACATTGTTGAAGAGCCTTCTGAGGATGCTGATAGCAAACAAACATTTAAGTAAGTTTCTACAGGAATTGATCTTGCTTTAACAGTTATGTCAGTATTTCTTTTTGCAAGTGTCTGTAGTTCTCTTTAATTTAATCATTTATCAACAATTGATTTCTTGCTTTTAATGTCGTTTTATCTTCTAGGTTCCCTTTCATTGCCTGTGAGATATTTACGTGTGAAATTGACGTCATCCTTAAGACTTTGGTGGATGACGAAGAGGTACTGTATTCACAACATGAAGTAATGATATTTTAAGTAAAAAGTGAAGGTCTTCCACTCTGATGTTTCAATTGTCTCTCTGTGTTGCTGCAGCTAATGAATATGCTCTTTTCCTTTTTGGAACCAAGTCGTCCCCATAGTGCCTTGCTGGCTGGGTACTTTAGTAAGGTAAAAAAAATGATTCATCCACAAGCTTTGTGGGCAAAATACCTTGGTTTTCATTGTTGAAATGTTTATTTTTTGGTCTAAAAGAAGTTGCTTTACGTAGGTGGTGATATGCCTTATGGTGCGGAAGACTGCTGCACTTATGAATTATGTTCAGGTTTGCCCAGTAATCCCCATTGCATGTCATGAATTGTACAAGTTATTGTCTTTTCCTGCTTCATGTAGTTAAAACTGTGATGCTTTGTTTTCCCATCAAGAAATATGTTTTTTATCACTCGTCTATGGCAGATTATCATGAAGACTCGATAAATATCATTAATAAACACCAAGTCAGTGTAAAAAAGAATGTATAAAATAACTGTACTTGAGTCATCCACTGTCATCCATCAGGTTTGACGAACTAATAGCAAATTTCTTGTTATATCACAAATACAAGTGGAATTAGAAGGATCTCTTAATGTGTTCGTATGCTCCAAAGAGGACGTGATGTTGCCATTATGCTGCTTCTTTACCTTGCCGATCCTATGTAATCTCTAACACCAAGATTGCTTCCTCCACTGTCCTCAGCAAGACCCACGGGATATTGAACAATACGATTCTTTGCACATGCAACGCCAACTCACAGAAAATCTTCTTCTATTCCTTAAATTGTTTGGGTTAAATGGCATCCTGTTCTGCACAACAGACAGGGAAGGTACTTATTTTGGAGACTCGATGTTCCAGAACTTTTCTCAATCTCCTGTTTTTGCCAATTCCAAATAATAACATTTTGCTTCCCCTCTCTATATCTTCCTATATCCCTTGTCATTCCGATTGGGTAATTACATATATTATTTCGTAACATACATACTTAATTCATTCCCAATCTTGAATAGTCTTCCTAAATATATACCTCGCATTGTGCCCCCAAGGCCTAGCTCAAGTGGCAAAAGGTGGAGGATTCGTGGCTTAGGTCGCAGGTTCAAGCCCCACACCATGCAAAGCAAAGCCCGGTATTTAAGTGGAGAAGGGTAGAGGGGCGGGCCCATTATCCACCGGTTTAGAAGGCTGTGATTGGTCCAAAGGGCGGGTCACAGACGGATTTCTCGGTTATCAAAAAAAAAATAAAAAATATATACCTCGCATTGTCCCTCTTAGCGTGTTGTCTCAATTCCAAATATTTAGATTTTCACTTCTTTGCTTTCTAAAGAACACTCTGCTTGCCGATTATCTCTTCTTGTACTACTTCCTTATCTTACCATCCGATTGATATATGAAAGATCTTTAGGATCTCAGGAACTTCGGTCAATCCTGCCTTCTCTTATGCATCATCAATTTTTTCGCAAAATTTGATTAGGCCTGAAAGTTTTGATTGATGTGAATCATTTTCCCTCTTATTGTGCTTCTTGCTTCTTCTATGGGGATCCTGGCCTACTTTAACTACAAATGAAGTTATGATCCTTGTGTTTTCCTTCCTTCCAATAGTTTTTGTCATGTTGTTTGACCTTGCTTCTGATACATCGCGAGCTTAAGCCATCACTTCCTATGTTGCGCAGACTCTTCATTTTTGCAGCCGAACCCGTCTCGACGCGACATTGGTGTGGGCGGTGCGTGTCGGATTCGGTCAATCCGATCCGGATACTTTGACCAGAGCCGAGAAAAAAAAAGGGGAAGAAGAGGTCAATTTCATGGCCGGTGAAAGTTGACGACCTTTCTTCGACAAAGTTGTCACAAGGTCTGGTTGCTCCATGGAAAAGAATAGTGAAGAGGCAAAGCTTGCAAGAATAGAGAGAGCGCAAGCAGAGCTTTTTTTCTTGAAAAGGAACAGAGCAGGCTATGTAAATGATTATTTATTTTTTTATAATAAATAAAAGGAATTATAATTTTTTTAAAATTAATTAGTAACAAGTCATAATTAATTTATGCTTTTAAATTTGTACATCTATAATTGATATGCTTTTAATATAGCGTTTTACAAGATATTTAATATTATTATTATAACTATATTTTATAATATTGAATAATTTTAGCCGATCCCCGCACTCATATCCATACTCGGATTCGCACCCCCGAATCTTAAAATTTAAATTTTACCGAATTTGACTCTCGGATTCGCATCCGTCTCGGATACCCGCACCCGAGTCCGAGCAACCTAGATCACTTCATTTTCCACAATTTCAAATCATCCTATGTTCTAGAAGACTACATTGTCTAATACTAAAGTTGCCTAATGCATCTTGCATTCTTTGGCTTGCTTCTTCTTGGAATTTACCTTCTTTAGAAGGTTGAATTAAGATACGCTGGGATGGAATAGTAATTGCAGGGTCCTGAATTTGCATTATGTTTTTTAAAGAGTTGAGTGGATCTGTTGGAGTAGTTAATTTTGATGTGTAATCTTGCAAATCCTCGAGACTCGGTGAATGGGTGGTGAAGCTAGGTGGATCATGAGTTCATCCCTTGTTTAAATTGTTTTTTTAACAACTGCACAGAGCTAGCGGATGTGAGTAAGGTTTGTTTGGGCATCTTGATTACTTTTGGGGGTGGGGGTAATTGGTAGGAACTATAATTCAGGTAATTTCATTTTGCAAACTCTGTGTGGAAGATGATTTAATGCAAAATTGTGTGCCTTTGCAACCTGTAAATGATTGTTTAAAATGCATTTTTTTCCTCTCCCTTTTTTCCGCTGAAGGGCTTGGTATTCATTCCTACTTTTAATTTTTTTGGTTACAGGTCCATCATGATGTTTTCCAACAGATGGTGGATTTGATTGGTATCACATCCATAATGGAGGTTAGTTTGCTTGGTTTTTTCTTCTACCATCTGACGCAATCACTAACATAGTCAAATTGTTATATGGATAATCTAGTGGAGACGACTCTTTTCCTCTAACAAGTCCTTTCTTTCAAGGTTTTGGTGCGACTTGTCGGAGCTGATGATCATATGTACCCCACTACTATGGATGTGATGCAATGGTTGACTGAGAGCAATTTATTAGAAATGATAGTGGACAAATTGAGCCCCTCTGTAAGTAAAAAAATACACAGCTACCTGATTATCTATTCTTGTGTTTCTTGTTATCATTATTTCTTTGCAGTGCCTTTACAGATCATCCATCGAAACTTTCTTTACTGGTTTACATGTTAAATTGTTGGTTATTTAATGTTGCAAAGAGTCTAGTGAGTTTCTGGTGTTAGGAGCAGCAGGAGCTAGAATGTTTTTCCTTAGCTGATAGGAATTACCTGTTACCAGACCACTGAACTATAAGTTCTCTCCAGTTATGGATGCATGTCCTCTTTGCTCCCCTTAATTGATTTGACTGAAAAATCTTTTTTTTTTCTTCCCTTTTTAAATTCTTATTTTCGGGAATAGTTAATATATTTCTAAGTTTGTGTATCGGAGCACTAGTGTGACTTGGTGTTTTACTGAATGGCAACTCACACTCGAAACTCTTTTGATGGATTCTTTCTCCTTGTCCAGTGTTCTCCTGAAGTACATGCTAATGCAGCAGAATCACTATGTGCAATAACCAGAATCACACCATCCCCTTTGGCCACCAAACTATCAAGCCCAAGGTTTGTTGGACCTTGGTTGATATTTCCCTTGGAAGTTGGGAGGTCTTGACATATCTTTTCAGCAGATAGTAACTTTTATTCATTAAGTGTCACAATTTTCTCTGCTTGCAGTTTTGTAGCCAGGATATTTGGTCATGCCCTTGAAGACTCACATTCAAAATCTTCCCTTGTCCATTCGTTGTCTGTCTGCATCTCTCTGCTGGATCCAAAAAGATCAATTCCATCATCTATGATGTATTCTTTCCGGAACCAGCAGATGTATGAGTCTCCCGTGCATGTCGATCCGGACACTATCGATGCAATGCTTCCTAAACTTGGTAAGTTTTCTTATGTGGAAGTTTGTACAGTTTTGAATTTGGATACTTGTTTAACTGTGGAAAAGTCAATTTCAAGTTCTCCACTGGAGACCAGTTTGGGGGGAAGTGTCATAATGCAACATCTATACAAAAGTGATACCCTCCTGCCACCCGGCAAAAACAAGAAAAAAAGTTACAAGCAGAATGCTACTTGCAGTTATGAAATTTGTTTATCTGTTGCTTGCTCATCTTGGAAAGTTCAACAACTTTGACATCACTTATGGCACAGGTGGTTTGCTTGAGCTGTTGAATGTATCATCTGATGAGAAGGTTCTGCCAACAACATATGGAGAACTCAGGCCGCCTCTAGGAAAGCATCGTTTAAAGGTTTGTCTTGATTATATACTTGTAACAGAATGAGCTGGCCTTTGTTATTCCTTTACTATTTGACTGGTGTTCTCTCAGGAGGATATGCAAAGCAAGAACTTCACTATTATGCTGTTTCCTATTTGTTGTTAAGAGATCAAATGGTTTTATGTCTCTGTTGCAATGGAGTTATAGATCTTGTGTTTGTTATTCTGATGGAAAATTGGGATAGTAGCTTTGCATAAGTACAACCAGTTCTTGAATGCCTGCGGAGTTTGTGTCTGTGGTCTATTGAGTTGATAATCTTGTTCAAGCTTTTTAATCTGTCCATCTTACTTTTATTTTTATCTTCCTTGTAGATAGTGGAATTCATTTCTGTGCTACTGAAGACTGGTAATGAAGTTGCAGAGAGAGAATTGATCAGCTCTGGGACAATTGAGAGGGTCCTGAATCTCTTTTTTGAGTAAGATGTTATGTCAATGTTCCTGATTCTTGGCCTCATAAGTAGTTTGGAGTGAATGTTCATATATTTTATTATTGATCTTCCTAAAACCAACTTCCGATTGACATTTTTACTATTTGCTTAATTTCTGTATAGGTACCCCTATAACAATGCATTACATCATCATGTGGAGAGTATAATATACTCATGCTTAGAAAGTAAGACCAACACAATCATTGACCATCTTTTTGAGGAGTGCAATTTGATTGGGAAAATAATTCGAACAGATAAACAGCCTACAGTTTCTGGTGATGGAAATCAGGTTAATCTTTGTGAAACAATGAAATCCTTTGTTTGAGGTTTTTGATCTTGTGCATAATCCCCCTTCACGTTCGAACAAAAATTCTCCCAAGTTTTCTCCCCCTCTAAAGGATAAGTCTGTTTAATTTGAACTATGCAGTCTCAATGCTGGTAATAACTTGTGCAAGTATTTAATGGTGTTTTTTTAACTGATGCAGCCCACCTTACCAGCTACTGGAAAACAAGCACCCCGAGTAGGTAATATAGGGCATATAACTAGGATTTCTAACAAACTTATTCAGTTGGGAAACAGCGACAACTGCATTCGAGCACATCTTGAGGTTTGTCAGATATAATTTTGTTGCTTGATATGCTTCACAAAACCTAGGTTTCTGAGGCTTTTTCTAATGAGGAGCAATGATTACCTGAATCTTTAATGTTAAATATACCGTGTTTCCCTATAAAGTTCTTTTTTGAAACTTCATGGTGGGCACAGGAAGATAATTTCAGCAAACAGTTACTTGCCTTTCCACACTCCAGAATTTTAAAAAAAAAAATTGGCACTAAAACTTGATTCATTTCTGGCCATATTGGAGTGTACATCAATATTTGTTCAGATGTGCATGACATGACAATAGAATGGTTTGAATGATCTCTCGGCAACATTTTCCTTTTCACAAATAAATGATCACTTTTCGTGAAGGCGGTGTCTATTTTGAGGTGCCTGTTGGTATTTATGTTGCTGGAGCTCAGTAGTCTCATGCCTACCTTTTTTGTTGATACTGGTATTGTCTCTTAATACTAATGTTTCTGTTCTAACTGGTTTTGCTACTTGTCTTGTACTCCAGAAGAATATGGAATTTAGTGATTGGCATACCACTGCCTTACAGGAGCGTAATACATTAGAAAATGTCTACCGCTGGGCTTGTGGGTAAGGTTCTATCTCTTTTTTTCTTTTCTGCTAACTTAATTGCAAAAATGAAATTCGCATAATGGTTGTGTGCATTATACTTCGACATAGATCTGAAGTTGGATAATTATTGTATTGAAGCTACTGCTTGGAACCATTCCTGGGCTATATTTATATGTGTTGGCAGTGCCCTGGTACAGTAATAGTACAAATAGGAGAAGTAAATAAAGAATATGCACAAAGTGAAGTTTGAAGTATCATCCGATACCTCAAGCAAGTGATTCACCATGTTGGTGTTCAAACAAGCTGCACTCTCCGTCCATAGTGCCTTTCTGTCAATGTTTGGGTCTTCAAACACGAGGAGCAAGTGGAAAATGGGGAAAAGAGAAAATGGTGGTGGGCGGGACAAGCCAGGAATTAACTGAAATACATGCTTTTGATGACCAGAATCTGTCACAATAAACTTATTTTTTGTTGTGATCTAGTAGTCCAAGATGTCTTGCTATTAGATGAAGTTATCGAAGAGAGGCTTGCAGAATTTCATGGGGATAAACATGGATTTTATAACTGTTCAAGATAAAACGTCTTTTGGTGGAAAAATTATTTTTTAAGTTCCTTAGTAATCCCTTTTCTACTCTGCTATTCTTCTACAAAATATTGGTTTATGCTAATGTCCTTTATTTGTATGGCCAGCCGACCTACTGCATTGCACGACAGAACGAGGGAGAGTGATGAGGAAGACATTCATGACAGAGATTATGATGTAGCTGCTTTAGCGAATAATCTGAGTCAAGCATTCCGCTACACCATATATGATAATGATGATGCTGAAGAGGTAAATTTTATTTCGTTTTGGGAGGTGAAATTTGGGCAGTGTGGGCTTCTGCGTGCATAAAAAGGAAAAAAGAGGAATATGTAAGCTCGTCAACATTTTTGTACTGCACCCCCAACTCAACCTTTGGTAATTGTGGGGTTGGGTTTTGGGGGGGGGTCGACTTTCAGTGTCTGTTCACTCACGGTCATTCTTGCATTTTCCAGGGGCGTGGAGCTCTCGATCGAGATGATGAGGTCAGTACTTCCATATCCCTGATTAAGCAGTCATCCTTGTGGATATATTATCGATCATTATTGCATTTGCCATTTGTTATCACTTGCCTTGGTGTTCCTCACCGTGTTATGTTCATGCCATTGTAGGATGTTTATTTTGATGACGAGTCTGCTGAAGTTGTGATATCATCCCTAAGGTTGGCAGATGATCAGGGGAGGTGAGTTCAAATTTCCATGTTTTTTTAAGTCACGGAATCACTTGAGCACATATGCTACTAGAAAAGAAAGTGAAAAAAGAGAAGGCATATAGATGGCGAAAGAGAAAAATGTATTTCTTTCCAATTATTTGACTATGGTAAATGTGGCTCTTCATTTCTTTGGTTCTTCCAGTGTCTTTAAAGATGAATAGTTCGTTGAAAACAACGGTCAACTAATTGGAACTCTTAATACTTCTAAAGGTCAGGACAAGGAACATCCATCTCTTACGAGCGGATGTATAACAACCTAACATGCCATAGTTTATACAAGATGTCTAGGCTTTCAGAGTTGTAATATCTTTCAGTTTTATCTGTTAGGACTCGCTACTGTTTGTATAATGTCTACCTTTCCTTTTTTTCCCGCCCTCCACTTCTGCAGCAGTTTGTTCACAAATTCAAATTGGTTTGCATTCCAAGATGATAGAATTGGTGATACTTCTATGAGCACCTCACCTGCTGATGTGATGGAGGATATTAACCTCAATGGAATGTCAAATAGTAGCAACAGCAATAGTGATGATGAAGTGGTAGTTGGAGAGGAGGATGAATTGGCTGAGAGCAAAAATTCTAATGCAATACCCAACTCTAGTTCGAACCCCTTTAATGGGTTCAGCATAGCCAATTCTGGTAATGATGGCGACTTTAATCAACAGAATGAGAAAGCAGACACCGCAACTGACATGATGTTCGAGACATCAGGGAGTGATGACCCCTTTGGAGACAGGTCTATGCCTGAATGGGTAGCATGGGGGGATGCCTCAAATTTTCAAGTTGGTGGATCCACCGTCAACCCATTTGTAGACCATAGCAACTCCGCTGACCATCTTGCCAATCTAGGGGAAATAGGAACTCCACCACTTAATTCTACTACTAGTTGTAGTGGAGAATCTATTCCAAATGGTGTCTCATCTCCTGATTCTAGCAAAAGTTCAGGATCTGATTCTAGTCAGAAAGCAACCACTGTTCATTCTTTATTTGAAGAGGATGTTGAATTTGTCGGCGTGGAATTGGAAGGTACTGAGAAGGCGATGGAACATGCTCTTAAAGAGGGGATTGTTGGCGAAGCCGCTCCATTGAAAAGGAGCATTGTTCCTAAGGTACCAGAAAAGGAGAGCACAGATGATGGTGGGGCAGGAACAAAGGAGTACAACGATGCAAACTACTGGAGGGTTGACCAAGAAGTTGCAGTGTCGGAATAACTGTGGAGATGTATTGAAAACCTGGAATCCAGAGCTACTAGCCAGGATCCCCAACTACTATCGATTGGTGAGTTTATGCAAGCACATGTGTACAGTGTACTTTGGTTACAATTGGGATCAAACAATAGGCTAATGTAAGGTTTGTCACCAATTAATTATTGTTACTCTTATTTATGTTTATTATAATTCAGGTTATGATTTCATTGTAAAGAAATTTTGGTTTCTCGTCTGACTTTGTCATCTTTCTGTAGTTTTATGGATTCTGGAGTAAATCTCAGTTCTCCATCCCATTAAGAGCAGGCGTAAAGGCTGCCTTGTTGAGACTATGTGAACTGTATTTTCTCTTGCCTTGATATTCATGTGTCACGTATTTGATTCTTTGGATAAGAAAAGAAAAACTAAGCTAACCCAGGCCTCGTAAGCGTTCTTCACCATGTACTACTTGTGTATGAAGAAGGTAGAAAAGCATGCAAGCTTAAGCAAAATAACACATGAAGAAAATTTGGCCAAGCAGGTATGACCATTGCAACTCTGTTCGTAGTAGCAGAATATACTATTCCATTGAAATATATATATATATATATATACACACATTGGAGAGTAATAACTTTGTGTTACTACTATAAATAGTCTCACCAAAATCCACTTTTTAACGATATGGATTAAGAACAATAGGGGGTCGTTTGGTTGCTAGTCACTTGGCTGTTTCGATGGATTGTCAAATTTCTAAATCAAATTCAGGAAAAAACAATAAACACAAAATGTCTATAATAATGAATTCATGTTTCATGATCTTGAAATGTAAACAATATAACAGTTGTCATGGTGAGTATTGGTCACTATGTCGGTTTTAATGGATCGGCTAAATTCCAAGCCGATAGGAGTTCGTCAAACAATTTTTTAAAAAATAACATATAATATTACCGTAAAAAATGCCCAAATTTATGATTTTTTTTGTTTAATAACCTCGAAATGTTCAAAATAAAATAAAATGGTGCTTGCCACGGTGAATATTGGTAGGTAGACTGATCAAATCTCAGACCAATTGGAATTCACTAATCATATTCAGGAAAATTAATACATGTAGAAAAAAATACCCAAAATCATGAATTCGTATTTTATGATTTTGAAACGACTATAAAATGACGTTTGCCGTGTAGATTATTGGTCACAAGGTTGTTTTTGATGGACCAAACCAGATTTCAGGCTAATCATAATTTACCAATCAAATTCAGGAGAATCAACATGTACTAATATACACAAAAAAGGGAAGTGCTAAATGATCAGAAAATTAAAAAATTATAATATTTTTTTATTTTAAAATAAACTGATCTTTTTTTCATTTTTTTAGTTAAAAAGTATTAAAGTTAAAAAAGTAAAATAACATAGATAAAATATCATTCTGGCAAAAAATAAGGTTATTTGATTTTATTTAGAATAAGTTATCCGTGTGTTGTGCTAAGCATTAATTACCCATTATATTCAATGTTCCACTTATTGGGATTAGTAATAAAACTGTTGAAATAATTATTAATTAACGTGATGCATTAATTTCATCACTAAAAATTATTTTAATCCACATTTCAATGGGATTAATGAATACTTTTACCAAAGTGTTTGTAGTCAAAGAAACCATTAATGAAAGTTTAGACATAAATGAAACTCACCCATCAATACGGCGATGTCAATGGAAACCCCACGTGAAAACTTTAATGAATACTTTTACCTAAGTGCTTCTAGTCAAATGAATATTTCTCAGTCCATTCGTTTAATTTGTTCGATCTATTTTGACTCGATACAAAAATTATGAAAGTAAAGAAGATTTTTTTTTTAATTTTAAATTAAATATTATTCTTGAAAGATATAAGATCGAGTTAATCTGAATTCAGTACTTCCATCTCTGAATATAAATTTGATGTATAAGTAATGGATATTAACTTATGATTCTAAAAATATAACAGATTCAATATTGAAAAACTTTAAAGGTCGAATTCATAGAGTTTAAATACTGAATCGGTTGAAAAAAGCACATAAGTTGCCTTGGTTTTTTTTTTTCATGTCATCTCATTACCTCATAGAGGTTGGGCGAGTGGAGTCTGATTAAAGTAGAAATCACATTGATTTGATGAAAACCTAACCATGATTGGGTTGGCAAGCAATGCTTCAATTGTTGTTTTGTTTTTGGTAATTAGTTGAGGGGTCGTTTGATAGATATTATAATAAAAATATTGAATAAAGTGTCTCGTATTATTAATGTTGGGATAAATTATGTTGAGATTATTTTTTATATTTAATTTGATATATTAAAGACAGTTTTGTCTTTGACCATGCTTATCCATGTATTAATAAGCACATCTGTTACTATTATCATAATTTGTTATGTATTAGTTATGCATTTTATTCAGTATTATAAAGTGTAAACCTTATACTTAGTTATCCATATGCTGAAAATCTTACCAAACAAAGGATTAAGTAATATCATGTATGATATATGGATTAGATTCTCTAATACATCTTATCAAGTCTGTAATTTCACTAAGTAAAATCTGAGGAAGGCAGGATATACACATGAATTATCTCTATTTTTCATGAAATAAAGAGATTATTTTCAATAGATCCTGATATTAGTTGAAGTCAAACCTTTTTGATAAAAAAAAAAAGGAAAAAAAAGAAGATAAAGAGGAACAAATTTCACATTAATATAATTTGACAAAACATTTGAAGGAGACAAAAGTGGGTGAGAAATGAATGTTCCTTTCCATTTTCTACAACAGGTGTTTACTTTATTTGCTTATCCTAGACCATTCATTTTATTTCCCCACATAGTTTCTGGTCATTTTTCCCAATTTCAGATCGACCATTAAAATAGAGAATTAAATATTGACATGCCCAAAGTACCATGGACAATGAAATATCAGAATGTTAATATTAAAATGCAAACAAGTCACATAAATGTAAAAATATGATCAAAAGTTGCTCTGAGTTTCCCTATTTGAAACATTTAACATTTAGTTCTTGTTTCTAGATGAGATGATTATACAATTCAACAATACAATTGTAAAGAACATGCACAATAGGCAATCGTGATTGGGTGGGGGGCGGGGGGAGCACGAGTAAATGACGAACATGTCCATGTCAAAAACATAAATGCACCAGCTCACATGTTCATGTCCTTTCAGATTAAAAACACCAACAAACACGACAGCACCACAGCCTTGGCGCTGTCTGTCGCAGTAGGAACTGTTAAAGAAAGCACATTGAATGTTTCCAACGTAAAGAGTAACTCAAAATATCCATACAGAAACAAACACAATGTTTCACTTACAGTGTCCTTAGCACTAGCAGTGAAGCAGTGGCTGCGAGAAAAAACAAACGAGAAAGGTACTTATAAACACAGGCTATCAAATGCCGATGATTCTATGCAAAGATGCTAAGAGGTCCTGCCTGGTTTGAAGAATCTAGACCACGTTCAGCAGTTGCGAGACCAGTTATCCATTTCCTGATATACAAGGTTGCAAGAAATCAAAAAGTGGCAAATACGGAACATTTACTTTGAAAATTATCATACTTTCCAGTTAAAGGACTTAGCTATCATTAGTATGATATGATATGAAGTCGCCTTTCAAGGGAGAGTATGATTAACAATTACCTTTTAATATTGCTGCTTGAGTTCATCAGAATTGTCAATCTTTTTGCACTCTTAACAAATTCACTGCAAAACAAATCCGAGAGAATGATTCATTAAATTTCAAATAAACAATGTGTGCTCACGCACGTACGTACACACTGCCTTTTTCACTGGAAAAATCATCAAAAGCAGAAGGTACTGGAAAAAACAAGGCACCTGAATGGTTCATCTCCGGTGTGTTTAACAGCACCTGTTGCATCATGATAGAGCACACGGGTCAGCATATCTGGTCTTTCTAGTCCAAACATGTTTGCAAGTCTTCTGTACAGTTCTTCATATGATCCCATAACTGACAGATCAAGTGTACGGCCAACATCCTCTGACTCGAGGAATACTTTGCAGTGACCAGTATCGAGTACACCAAGTTCAGCTGCATGATAACCTCGATTCCAGAAAAATGTCGCACTTGATAGATTGTCTTGAATGCTGCCTTTCTGCTCAGGAGGATGTTTTTCGTTGATCAGTTGTATCCTGCCTAAGTCCTTCCCTGTTTGGACAACTTGCGGAGCAGTGACAGAACATCCATTAGAGATTTGTTGCTCAGTCAGAATTGGCTGACCGAAGAGTAAGAACCGAGGTGTATTCACACTATCATTTTTCTCCAATGTCTTACTTGAAGTACCCATGGTAAGCAAACAAGAGATGTTATCATTTCTGTCATTTTGGTACCTATTGATGACATTAGGAAGTTGTGAGTTGGCTGCAACACGCTGGAAACTTGGTGGTAACAGTCCGGACGGTAAGTTGTTGCTAAGGTGAAGATCCAATAAAGGTACTCCAAATTGAGCATGCCTGGCTCCCTGTATGCCTGCAGTGATGTTGTCAGATAAACAACAGAAAGGACTGCTGGACCTGAGGGGGTTGCCTGAAAAAAATGGTAACTGAAATTGGCTGTCAAGAGAGAAATCTGGTGGTAGACGCAGCTTTTTTCTTGGCGGTGAGAAGGGCGAGGGGTGTATGACTGGCATATTTGAGACCAATTCGACAAGCCATGGGCTGACATGTTTAACGTTCTGCAATAAATCAGGTTCATCCCATGCCACCTGCAGTACATCATGGAGAAAAGTTTTACCACACTTAACTTAGACTAAACGATAAGCAAAGCCGCAACTGCATATTGCATTTTGAAATCTTGAGGACATCAATGTAGTTGTATGGCAACGTAATGAAAAAACAAATGTAACAGCTATTTCATGTCATAGTTTGCCAATGAAATACCCAAGTAATTTTTCTGAAGTTACCAATATATGATACAAGATGACGAGAACATCTCTTGGACAGATCCCTAAAACTTATAACCCTTATTCCCAAGAAAACAATGATGGACAGAGAAAGAAAGCAACACCTTGAGAATTATAGAGAATCGAGAAATGTGATGCGGACAATTTATAGAATGACCTTGCAATAGAAGGGAATGTGTTATCTACACTTAATAATCATGAAAAAGGAAACAACAGATCTTCCTGGCATCAGGCTGATTACGAGTTATATGAGCTTAACCAGAACATGACATAAATCCTAAACATACAGAGAAAAGCTCTAAGAAAGTTGAACAGTGCCACTGCAGTGCAACAATGAAATCTCGCAACACCTTAGAAATACAGGAAGTAGGTTGAAATAATATTGGAGGACTATTAA